GGAGGTTTGTTTTTTTCCATCTGTGCTCAGCTTTCCGACACTCTCTTTATTCATTTTTCACCAGTGTGGAGTTCCTCCATGGAGACTTTTTCCTTCCAGAGATAACCTTCACCTTAAAGGGAGCAATAGTGTCCATTACATTTAACATTTTAGCATTGAAGCTATTGACAAGCTCATTGACTGAAGTATAACTGTAACCTGGTCCAGAGTACAGTACTGATGCATCCCTAATAGCATGAGGAAAATAATACACTGCTAGATTAGCTGAAGAGAAGAGCATTTCATCTTAAACAACATACTTTATTGGCTGTGGTCATGAGTCTCGGGTCAGGTTGGTGAGCATGTGCATATTGTATATCTTCCAGACAACAGCTGAATATAAATTCCTCCAATATTCCTTAAGCAGTTTTTAAGAACTGTCACAATAAATCAAACTTCACATTTACTAAAAAATAATTAGCAAATCTCTTCCACGGTTCAAAATTAACCCAAAATTGAATACTGGCATCATGTTGCTGAAGTCTTCTGGTCTCAGGCTCATGGAAACTGTTGTCGTTGATTTAATTCATTGCTTTTAATGGGAAAACTAGATTATAGCAGCAGCTCCCCTGCATCTTTCACCTACCCAATGAGTACAACACTGTCTCTGCTTTGCAAGGTTCTTTATATGAATAAATCCATTATTAGAGGCCATGTAATATCATCATGAAAGACACCCGCACATCTTTGGATATAACTTTGATAGCATCTGAAATCAAACATCACCCCGCATCAATCTTTTACTGCTCTGGCAGGATCAAATGTATCAGTTGAATGTAATATTCCAAAATGAAACATCTTATGATGTGATAACATCTGAAATATATATATTTATATGTATATATATATATTTATATGTATAAAGGAACAGTCTTTGTTCTCCTGCCTGTGTGACGTTCACCCGCCACTTCTGTCTTGCTTTTCTGTTAGAAAGCATCTGCTTCTGCATCACTCCTTTGATACCGCATATCCAGGAAAAGACGGTTTGAATGAAAAACACAGGATTGAGTAAAGCTGTGTTTATTCAGAAGATCCCGCGAAACCAGCGCGATGCGCACCGAGTCTACTAAAAGACATCAAACGTGCGGACCTCTTATTCGATTTTCCCCGCTTTGGATAAGAAGTCAGAGCATACGGACATGATCATTCACACTAATGAATGCTGAACACCAGACACACATCACCTCCTAAACATATTTTTGGGTCTCTGCTATGCAAGACCTTTAATTCAGTATTTATTACCGTGGCTCATTAGTCGGCTTGCTTGCTCTGACCTTTACGGCAGAGCAGCATTGTTCTGCTTTCTTTCTCCCTACTGAGAATTCTGCATAGCGTCCTAACAAATTAACATCACTCAGGCCAAGAGTTGTGCGCGCCAACATGATGCACATATTCGTGCATTTTCCTTTCCCCCCACGTGCACGCTCATCGGTTTGCCCGCCTATTTCGGGGATGCTGCTGTGCGCAGGTCAGCGAGTGAGTGTATGCGGGAAAGCAATCTGACTCCAATATGTGATGAGTGGCCCCCAGCAGTCCAAGGTTAATCCAGCGACTGTGTGCAGAGCCTGCTTGAAGAAGGAGGCATGCAGGAAGACATAGACGAGCTGTCAGAGACAGAAAAAAAAGATCCTGTCCTGTTCATCTTCAGTATAATGGAAGACACTAAAAGTTCAGCGAGACAGAGAAGAAAATGCAAAGAGGCGGGTAGAAGAGGTGAAGCAGCTAAATGGATGCCAGGAGGCTGATGGCAGTGGGTGAGGAGGTCCAGATAAAGACACACACACACCACATGCGCATGCATGCGTCGCCACAAATTGTGTTCAGTGGGTGCTCTTGGCACAAAAGTCAGTGCAATATATCTTCAATTGTTCAGTCATTCAAACATCTAAGACTGTGAGCAGAAAGAAGAAATCGATGTGAAGAGAGAGCAGGAATATGACGTGCTAACGCCACGCTAACAATGT